CCAAGGGAGGTTTTTGGTGTAACGAAGGTGCGTCGGAGGATGCATTCTGCACCGTCGGGCGTCCAGGCTGGCATCTGCAGGCTCATTGGAAACGTTTCTGGGGGAACGCAGGGTTATTTGGATACTTGAGACTTACCTTGCCTTGCACTAAAAAATTATTTTTCCAGATTTTCCCTCCCTTGTGAATAATAACGCTTGTATCTGTTTCCTAGTGAAAAAAAAAAAATCCCCTTATGTGGGTCACTGTTAAAAAAGCACCGTCCTGTCAGCCAGCCATGCCCAAAGGGAGCTGCTCTGCAGAGGTGCGGAGACCCTCCACTTTTTTTAGTTCAGCTGAAGGCCCTGCGTCCTCTGGTAATGGACCCCCAAACATTTTAGCTTCTAATTAGCAGATGCAGAAATTCCCAGCAAGTAAAATAAGTCACCTGAAGAAGTGGACTCCTGTTGGGTGCCCACCGTGTGTTCCGGTAGGCAGGAGCGGTCACCCAGCTGGACCACCGGGCTGGAGCCGCGCAGGACTCCACGGCTCTTCCCAAAACCTGCTGCCCCAGGAGGCTGCGAGGTCAGATCAGAGGGGACCGGGGACCTCCCCAGCGCCCACCCGGGTGGCACTTCTGCTGTCCTCCTCAAGAGCCACGAGCCCCAGCCTCCATCCTCATCCCTCCAAAATCAGGCTTTGGCATCTCCACCTCCTCGTGGGCACTATGAATGGATGCTGCAAAGCGGTTGTGGAGATCCAACAGGATGGTTTGCTAGATGGCCGGCGTGTCTCTAGATGGCCGGCGTGTCTCTAGATGGCCAGCGTGTCTCTAGATGTCTGGCATGTCTCTAGATGGCCGGCGTGTCTCTAGATGTCTGGCGTGTCTCTAGATGTCTGGTGTGTCTCTAGATGTCTGGTGTGTCTCTAGATGGCCGGAGCGTCTCTAGATGGCCGGCGTGTCTCTAGATGGCCGGCGTGTCTCTAGATGTCTGGCATGTCTCTAGATGGCCGGAGCATCTCTAGATGGCCGGCGTGTCTCTAGATGTCTGGCATGTCTCTAGATGTCCGGCGTGTCTCTAGATGTCTGGCATGTCTCTAGATGTCTGGCATGTCTCTAGATGGCCGGCGTGTCTCTAGATGGCCGGCGTGTCTCCGCGTTGATGTGCGCTTGGGGAGGTAGGAAGGAAGGCGATTTGGGGGTGATGGAGTAAGAAATCTTCAGCCACTTCTCTAAAATTGCAGGCCCAAGGGAAAAGCCCGTTCCCGGTCGGATGCAGGAGGGATGCTGGGCTGGGGGGGAGAACTCGGCAAGGAGCAGCGCTGCCACCCTGGGAGGTGCAGCTCCGGAGACCGTTCGGCATCCGGAGGAAGAGACCCTGCGCAGAGGTAGCCCTCGCCGCCCCGTGCTGACGGGGCACCCCAGCTGTTTGGGTTGAATTGCTGGGCCGCCTGCTGCCGTAACCGCAATGCAGCTTTTCTGCTGGACAAATTCAGCCCCCTCCATCTCCTTCCTTCGCCCAGACTGACGCTGGTAATTCGGCAGAGCTGCGCTGGGCAGGCGCCTGCCCTTCCTGCATGCCGAGCAAACCCTCTCCCGTGGGGCGCAGGCTGGCCCCCGGCCGCCAGGGCTCCGGGAGATCCTCGTGCATCATTTTGGTGCCCATTAACCAGCAGACGACTCCTTTTTCTGAGCAGACGCTAGAGGAGGGGTTTTTCACCTGAAGGTCGTGGATACACGGCTCGGCTTCCTTTAGTGATCCCACTTGGCTCAGAGCCCCTCGTTTGGGGGCATCTGTTTGCCTCTTATTTTATTTTTTTCCCTCTTCTTTGTCTTTTCTTTTACAGGAAAGATTATTCAAATGAATATTCAGTTTTATTCATTTGAATAAAACACCCAACCGTTTGACTCCGTTAAATGCTTATCTCTTAAATAGAGCTTGTTAGCTCCCAATAATAGCTTCATTCAGAAGGATGTGGTATAATTTCATTTTAAAATGTGTGCTCCTTGACAACCGGAATCCTATTTATGTCACCATTTTAAACAGCCGCCTTTGTTTTGTGTTAATCTTTTTCATACGCTTCCCGAGAAGCATTTTTTTGTTGACTCTTAGTACCTCTCAGAAGAAATAATTGTCCATTTAGTCCAGGAAGGTTTTGGAGAGGTTTGGTAATTTCAAGACGAGCCTGTATTCATTACGCTCACTAATAAGGCATGCACGCAGGCGGATTTTTGTGTGCGTGCAATTATTAAAAGTTGGAATCTCATATTCAGAAAGTGAAACACAAAAAGGACCATTACCCGTCACTTCGATGAAGTTTTTAATTCCGGGGCATGTGATCTCTCGGGGATTGTTGATTTAAGGAGCGATAGCATCTCTTGAATCGCATCCTTTGGATTTTAAGCGCCTGTATGCCTGCGGATTAAAATCCTCTGGTTGCTTCCCAACAGTTAAAGATGCCGGTCATCAGAAAAGGGAAAGCACCGTCAGCCTTCAGCTACGGATCAAGGGCCCCCCGCCTGGCTGCCAGCCCCGGGGAGGCAGGGATAAAAAATGGGGTTGGGTTTCCTTGCAGCCCCAGTCCTGGCTGGTTTTGGTTGCCACACCAGCCAGGCTGGCCCGCACAAAGTGCCATAGGTCTTCCAAAAACCTGCAAATGAGTGTCGACACCTATGGATTGTTAATTTTATTCTTGTGATGAAATCTGTAAACGCGGAAAGCCGGGTGCCTATCTTATTTAATCAGACAAATAATTTCTTGATAAACCGGTGTTTAAGCCATATGGAATGGGATGAGAATGGGAAACTTGTTTCCGAGTCCAAATGCGTAACGACCGCGGTGGGCTTTCGCGCGGTGTTCTGCATATTAAGGCTAATCTCCTCCAAATTCCCTCTCTCCCCTCCATCCTGGCAGTGAGACCTGACACAAGTTGAAAGAGAAATCCTCAACTGCAGTACTCGCTAATGAGTTACTAACGATGAAGAGGTTGCTGGTGCTCAAACAATGAATGACGTGGAGACCCGGACTGGCCGTCTCATTGCGCTGGGCAACGCCGGTCCCCAGCGGCACGCTGCTCCCGGCTCCGGTAATTGCCCAACGCAACATGCTCCAGGATTCCTGGGATGCCGTGTTCAGCCAGTTAACCACAAAAATTTTAGTTTTAACTACAGGTTCTGTTGAAGGTAGCTTTAAATGGAGTAATTTAGCAGGCAAATGAAAGGCTTGAGTTAAGTAAAATACTTCAAGCTGCTACATGCTTTAAGTGCAAAGTAAAATCGCGTTCCGAGCGCTGGGTTTGCGTGCCATGGGCTGTCGGATGCGTTATGCCGCGGAGGAGATGTAGAAAGCATCTCTGATGGGTTTTTCCCCCCCAAGAAGAGGGTCCAAAGAGGGATGGACCATTGCTACTGTGCTGTGCATTCCTGAACAAGCCGGCTGGGAGCTGCTCGGACCTCGCCTCGGCCAGTGCGGGAGCCAGCAAATGCACTTTACAGCTTCAAATATTGTAGCTTGCAAAATGTATCCGGTACCCGTGGGTTGCCAAGACCCGTATAGTTTTAATAGCTTCTGCTGTGCCCCATCAAAGGAAATCTAGCGTGTGTTTAAAACGATGAAGTATTGCTTTGGGACCCCAGCGCAGAAACGGGCTGGGAACGCCGGGTTTGGCAGGGGGAGCAGATTGGGGGGGGGACATGACCACGGCGCGCTCACCGCTGGCAAAACTGCTCTGCTGCGGCGCGCGGCGGGATGCTCGCCCGACAGGACTATCCACGGGCAGTAACGCCGGGCAGCGGGGGGGTTCCCCTCCCTCTTCCTCCCCCCTCGCCCAGCTGGGGGGCGAAGGCTGCTGCCGGGGACGCCCCAGCCCGGCTCGTTTGGCTCAGCCTGGTGCGATGAAGACATCGGGTGCCGTTTCACCAGCCCCAGCCTTTCCAGTGCAGTTTGGGGGATGGAGTTCATCCTGTTGTTAGGTTTTTTTAAGATTTCATTAGCTTAATTGGTGTCGACGTTGACTCATCGAGCCTTTGCCAGAAGTGTAGCACATTAGATTGGTTTTTCTTTGTTAGCTTGATTTATTTTCTTTCTTTATTTTTATTTTATGCTTGGCTGTGTAGAGCTGTGGTGGGCTGCTGGGTTTCTTTAGTGCCTGCAGCTGTGTGGCCCCAGCAGAGCAAATCCAGTGTAGAGCTACGGGCGGGCGCGAGCATCAAACGCCCCTAAAGCAGCCCAAACCCAGGGCTCCTTTGAAGCAGCAGTGGCGAAGAGAGGAAGGATTAGATCAGAGGCTTTAAACGGCGTGGTTCCTCGGAGGCCTCAGGATGTCCTGATGAGGTATTAGAGGAAGTAATTCAGGAAGAAAGGGACAAGTAACCGCCTCCGGAGCCCGGCAGCGGGGACGTTTGGTGTTTGCTCAGAGCGAATGGAAACACAAAGTGCTGCCGCATGTTTGGGGCAGCATTGGTATTTTTTTTTCCTCGCCGGGGGTAGCGATGGGTAAATGAGGAATCATCTTCTCTCTTCCCGGATTTTTATTTTTTTGGGTTGTGCAATGAGTCAGCTTTAATGGAGAAGTCCCATGGAATTAAACAAGAGATAAAATCAATATGGTTCCATAGAAATATAATTGAGTTTTGTAGAGATTGTTCTTAAAACCCTAAAAGGTGTAAGAAAAAATATGGCCTTATTGTAGTTTCTGAGCCGTCCTGTAACTGGGGTGTAACTACCCATTAAATTCTGCAGGATGGATCAAAGAATCCATAAGGAGGTTTTAATTCTCCATTAAATCCTATGGAAGAGCTGGGACAGAACCGAATTCATTTTCCCCAAGACAAGGCTTCTTCCCACCATCAGTCTACGATAAGTTCAGCAACAGCTCCATGGGCAGCAGCTCTATTCACGCCTGCGTATTTCTATGAAAGTTTTCCAAAGTCCCGGTGGCTACGCAATGCTTCATTAAAACGAGATCTGTTTAACCTAATATTTTCCTTTCCCCCTCCCCTTTTTGTTTCTTTATGAAACAGGATTTGGCTTCGTAACTTTTGAAAATGAAGACGTGGTGGAAAAAGTCTGTGAAATCCATTTCCACGAAATCAATAATAAAATGGTAAGTGGGTTTTGTTCCGCAGCGCGCGGCGGTGGTGGCGAGCTCTCGCCCTGTGTCACAGAGACGTGCCGGGTGGTGGCCCTTTGGGACAACCTTCTCCGTGGGGCTAACGGGGCGCTGGGCACACCGTGCCCGGTGGAGGCGTCGTGGGGACAGGCTGCTGAGCCTGGACCATGGCTTGCTCGGGCGCTCCCCCTGTCCCCCCGCCAGCAGGACGGGTGTCTGTCCCCGCCGCGAGCACAGGCGTTGTCCTGTCCTGTCCTGCCACCCCCGGGCAGGTTTCAGTGTGGAAGCCGAAGGGCTGAAGATGGTGTGGATCAGCCTGCCCGGCTTCTTGCCCAGCCTTGGGGAAGCCCTCCCGCTCTTGGGACGAGCCGTGGCAGCCGCTGCGTTAGGGGGTTTCGGGGGGGAATTGGACTGGGGTAGCTCCCAAAATAGCTGCTCTGGTCGAGCTCCCGAGTCCTGCTCTGCCGTTGCTGCTGCCTGCTGGGCCCTGTCCCCTGGCAAGTCTCTGCCGTCGAGCCACACTTGCTTTCCACCCAGGCCCAACCCAGGAGCCAGACCTGGGTGCAATTTCTCCTAAATGACAGCCAGGTCCCAGGTTGCGGGTTGCCCTGTCAGTAAAGCCCCTGAGCCAGATGAAAAAGGGCATTTGTATTTCAACTGATGCAGTAACTTTGATATTTGCAGCTAAAATATTCTTTTTCCCTTTGTCAAAACATCCTTTGCTTCTCAAATGTGTATTCAGATATGCATTGTATATTGGTCTGATATGTGTTCACAGACTTTAAATTCAATAATAGAGCTTTTAGTGTGGATAAGATCAAAGCAATCTCCTTGGCATATGCTGGAGGCCTGATTCAATATTTGACTTGCTAATTTTTCCCAGGGCACTGAAATAATATTCTTCATATTGCTCCTCACTGCAATATGCATCTGAAAGAAAAGGAAGGGTCCCCTTGGCAAGCGGCGGGGTGGACTGGCGGGGCAGGGCTGGGGCAGTTCCCTGTCCCCGGTGGGAAGCCCCTCGCTCCATCTCAGATGGGTGCTGTGGGTTTTGCCTCCGCCCCGTCCAAGCATCGCGCTGCTTCCCCCGCCGCCTCCTGCTTCTGGGGTTCCCTACCTGCCTCCAGCGGTGCCTTGTCTGAGACATGGGGGTTGTTGTCCTGGATCGTTACTAAATGCTGATTAATCTGCCTTAAAACCAAAAGAATGAGCCCCAACCACCCCCACCCCAGCACCCAGATGACAGACCCAGCAAGGCTTGGGATGTAAATTTAGGTAAGACTTGTCAGTTGGGAAGGAAGAGCTACAGTGCCATGCTCCAGGGTTTTCCTGCCCCTCAGTCGCAGGTTGGTGCCTGTCAGGTCACACTCCGCGGGTTTAGTTAGTTATGGAGTTATTTCACCCAACAGGGTCGGGGTAACCCCCGGTATCAGTACAGGCTGGGGGAAGAAAGGATGGAGAGCAGCCCTGCCGAGAGGGACCTGGGGGCACTGATGGACAAAAAGCTGGCCATGAGCCGGCCATGGGCGCTGGCAGCCCAGAAGCCAACCCTACCCTGGGCTGCATCAGGAGAAGCGTGGCCAGCGGCGAGGGAGGGGATTGTGCCCCTCTGCTCTGCTCTGGGGAGACCTCCCCTGGAGCCCTGCGTCCAGCTCGGGAGCCCTCAGCACA